CCGACCAGGTGAGAGGACAGCTGGAGAGACTACACCAAGGCAAAGCAGCAGGCCCTGATGGTATCAGCCCTAAGGTACTGAGGACCTGTGCCAGCCAGCTGTCTACTATCCTGTGCCACCTCTTCAACCTGAGCCTGACCCAGGAGAAGGTGACCACACTGTGGAAGACCTCCTGTCTGGTTCCTGATCCCAAGAAGTCGAGGCCCAAAGACTACCGACCAATAGCCCTCACACCTCATGTGATGAAGGTGCTGGAGAGGCTGGTCTTGGCCCATCTCCGTCCGCAGGTGAAATCTTCCCTTGACCCTTTGCAGTTTGCTGATCAGCCTCGTCTGGGAGTCGAGGATGCCGTCATCTACCTGCTGCAGAGGGCTCACTCACACCTGGATGGTGCTGGTTGCACAGTGAGAATCACTTTCTTTGATTTCTCCAGTGCATTCAACAGCGTTCAGCCACTTTTGCTGAGGGAGAAGCTGTGAATGATGACTCACCCACGGTCTCCTGGGTTACTGACTACCTGACAGGCAGGCCGCAGTTTGTCCATCTTGGAGCTGCCCTGTCTGATGTGGTGGTGAGTGACATAGGAGCCCCACAGGGCACTGTGCTTTCTCCATTCCTGTTCCCCCTATAAACCTCAAACTATCAGGAAGGCTGGCTCCGTTACCAGCTGCAAACCAGACACCATGGAAGCAGTGGTGGAGAGGAGGACTCTGAACAAACTGTTATCTATTCTGGATAACCCCGACCACCCTCTCCACCCCCTTCTGGACAGGCAGCGGAGCTCCTTCTCAAACAGACTGATTCAGCTCCGCTGTCACAAGGACCAGGACAGGAAGTCTGTCCTGCCCAGAGCTATAACACTGTACAACACCTGGCCTCTGTCTGGCAGAGAGCATTCTCAGCTCTCAGCTCTGTAAAATCCTTTGTCTTTGCACTGTTTTTCAATTTGCACATTTTGTACAGTTATTTTATTTATTTTATTTTATTAGGGCCCGAGCACTACAGTGCGTAGGACCCTCTTGAAACTGAAAGGATTATCTTTTCTTCTTCTTCTTCTTCATAGCCATAAACAATTGCATTTTTGAGGGCCTAAACATTCTCAAATCTGCATGAAAATTTGCACACACATCAGAACTGGTGAAAAATTTGATATTTTAAGGGAGTTGGACATGTCAATGCCAAAATGGTCCCAGCGGAAGCATGTTTGACCCAGACCTACGCAATTTGGTAGGTATATGGAGGAGGTTAGGACAAACAAAAATGTCAGTGACAGCCATACTCTAAACCCAACAGGAAGTCCGCCATTTTGCATTGTTCGTTTGTCCAACCTGAGCTAACACCTCCTAGGGGGTAAGTCACAGAGCGCTGAAATTTGGGTAGCAGGTAGAATACGCCTTGAAGGTAAAATGATATCAAAATCATTTGCAAAGGTCAAAGGGCGTGGCCATGGCAGCCTCCTGATTTTTAATCCTTCGCCATAAAAGAGGAAGTACTGTGTAACTACCCTGTACACGCTCCATTCTGTCTCAAACTTTACGTATTTGATCAGACTGTTGTCCTGATCACATCCATATGCCAAACTCCATTCACAGTCATAGCGCCACCTATTGGTAACAGGCTGTTTGAGGCATTATACTTCCACGTGCCATTGCTTCAAACTTTGTGATATCATTCATAAAATTGGTCAGCTAAGTCTTCCCATGTTGACGATGCTACAGTGTGAATCGTTTGGGTTTTCAAGCAACAGTGTTGCCATGGCGATGCACAGTTACTTTGAGACAAAAAGGACTTTTGACAGCTTTAGAATGCTTATAAACTCACCAAAATTGGCATATCAGTCACTATCGCCTCAACAACAGACAACGTGTGCCTGTTTGACAAAATGGCTCTAAAGCGCCCCCTGCAGCAATTTATCCATTAGCCCCCGCAGGACGTTTAACTGATGTTTACAAAAATTGGTAGACATATGTAACACATCGGGACACACAAAAAAGCCTCTTGGACCCATACCGTAAACTCAATAGGAAGTCTGCCATTTTGTTATAACTGTGCAATTTTTTGTGATTTTTGTCATTTTCGAGAGCAAACTCCTCCTAGGGGTTAACTCCTACACGCCGCAAATTTGGCCAGCACGTACAACAGGGCTTGGTGACTAAAAGTTATTAAAACACTCCGCAAAAGTCTGAGGGCGTGGACACGGCGGCCATCTGAATTGTGATGATTCGTCATCAAAAAGGAAGCGTGTCTAACGACCCTGTACATGCTCCAATCTGCCTCAAACTTTACATACTTGATCACAGTCCTGCCCTAATGAAACCCATATGCCAATATCAATTCACAGTCATAGCGCCACCTGCTGGCAGTAGGAAAGAATGTGTTTTACACTTTCATGTGCTATTATTAGCCGGTCAACTGTATTGACCTCAAATGCAGTGACATGAGCCTTTAGACGTTGATGATGACTCATACCAAAAATGGTGAGTTTACGTCAAACGGCGTGTCCGTGGCAGCCCTCTGAATGAGAATAATACTTGTGGGAGGGAAGAAGGCCTTGATAAGAAGTGGTTACAACTAGATGCTTCAACATTAGATGACTGGCATGAAATCATACATGACATTTACTTTATGGAAAGACTGACATTCTCTATAAAGATACAATCAGAGAAATTTCTGAGATGGTGGACAAAATGGGTCGGGTATATGGGTCCACAGAGACCAGACTTACTTTATTCACCCTTCTGTAAAATATTGATTCTACGGGATTACCAGATAGATCGTGGTGTGAGGGTATCTTTAAGAGTAGATGAGTGAGAGTGACAGCCTCTTTGTTCATGGGTTTGTTGGATCAGGAATGTCAACATTTGCTTCAAATGAAAATGAAAGAGAGAGCAGTAGCTGAGAAGTCAATATCACTGAAACGAGTCTTAGACTATTGGGTGATATTATACATGGGATATACAGTATGTAAATATAGATTTGTGTAACATTTGACGATTTGAACTTGGTATGAATGTTGGACTATGTATGATCTCTGATAAAAATTTTAAAAAATAATGAAAAATAATTTCAAATAATTAAAAAAAAGATTATTCAAAGGCCACCAAGCCAAATTTCATGAAATTTGGCAGAGAGGTGGAGCATGGGCAGACGACAACATCACTGAATTTTGGTGCAGACACTGATCACTTTCTTGGTGGAGGACTGTGCTTCATAGGACCTTTTCAAGTTAAACTAGTCCGTCAAAACCATTCAAATTTCACACTTAATCTGGTATCACTACACAGTTGTGGGTGAGTGTAGCCTGATTCTTACTCTCTCTACAGGCCTCTATATGAATAAATCGTTACATACCTATTTGCTCATTGGACAGCAGATAACCTAAAGTCCTACTTTGACTGATGAAGAGCTTGTAACTGCTGTTTCTAGGCATTTCTATCTGAAACAGAACAAAGACTGTCCCTTACCTTTTTGCTTTGTTGGAAGCTGATGTTGAGTTGGCGTAGGGATTAGACTGCTGAGCAGGGCCTCTGGATGCTGCTACCGATGTAGGAGGGGTTGCAAACAGGAAAGAGCTGAGGAATCTCCAAACAGCCAGCAACGGATACAGGAGTGTGCCCAGAACTGCCCAAAGACCACCCCCAGAGGACTGGGCCACTGTGTTAGCAGGCCTGCCTGACTGCTGAGGGGGAGGAGATTCACATAATGTTGATAAAAGAGGCACATTTAAAGACTGAATCAGCTTTTAGAGACATGTATACATTTGTTTCTCCATTCATTCCTGTGCCAAACTCTTCCTGTCCCCAGTTTAGTATTATTATTATTATTTTTTTTTTAAATTGATATTTTAGTTCAACATTTAATTGAAACGCGAACACTTCAGGACATTTCCTAGGACATTTTCATAGTATGAATATCCCCTGCCCATCTAACCCTCCCTATATCCCCATGGCTAAGAAGAATCAAAAATAGATTTTAAAAAAACAAACAAAAAAAAACTGAGCCAGAAATTGAATGTATCAACATACCTTAACAAACAAACAATACATAAGTAAATGATAAATAAATAATAATAACATACATAAATAATTCATTTTACATGATGTGTGAGATCAGTCCTTGGGCACTGTCCACTTCTAATGTAGTCCAAGAATGGGCTCCATGTTATCAGGAATAAATCCCGGTGTCCCGAGAGTCTAGTTTGAGTGTAGCCATTCTGCTTGGGGTCCAGTAGGATCAGTGAAGGATTTTATAACTGGTGAACTGTGCCTGGACCTCTCCAGCAGGAAGTATGACTTCATTCCACTGCTGTTCCTCAATATGTTCTCCGATATCCTTCTCCCAAGCCAATTTTAGACTCCCAAGCTTCGGTGCATTGGCATCTCTGATGAGGTTATAAAAAATTGATGCACTGCCTTTTTTACAGCTGACATATTGTAGTAAACTTTGAATTTCAGTAGGTGGGTCAGGTTCACAACTCATGACTGAAAGGAAACAATGCCGGATTTGGAGATATTTCAAGAAGTCTTTGTTTGTCAGATTGTAATTTTGTTTCATATATTCAAAGGTAACCATGTGACCTTTATCATATAGATCCCCCAGCTGCAGGATTCCTGCTGTAGCTCACTGGTACCAGCAGAATGAATGGCTTTTTCGCTATTCTAATCTTAGCATTAAACCACATTGATGCTTCAGATGTTAATGACAGATTACGTTTAACAAGACAGTGTGCCATTTTCCAACTTTGCCTTGAGAATTTAGTATTAAACACAGAGTGACAAGAAAATTAGACACCTTCTCTGAGCAGGACACTGTACTGCTAAATTCATATTACTCAGGAGTGAATAATACAAAGTGCCAAGTGTGCGTTTTGGTCTGAATATGTTTACATCAATGAGAGGAGACCTGTTTGGGAGATATACATTTTTACATATAGTGTCTAAAGTTAAAGGGTTCAAAAGTAATTGGACAGACACACTTTAAGAACGAAAAATATCATATTTATTCTTTTTTGGAAAATCCTTTGCAGTCAGTGAGTCGCTGAAATCTTGGACTGTGAAAACAAACAGTTTTTCCACAACCAGTGCCACAGACATAAGCAGAGGTTTTGTATGTTCCCTGATGGTGCTCTTCCAGACCTTCACTAAAGTCTGTCTGTTGTGGGGCCTCTATGCCTTTAATCTGGTCTTTAGACTACTTGAAGCTTTGACATTTTAATGTACTTGCCTGAGTGTGACCACACAGAGTGCTCCTGTATACCCCTGCATTTATTCTGTTGCTTCAGTCAGGAATAAAATCACCGATACATTACCAGCCATACATGACCGCATCATGTGGAGTGCTACGTTGTTTGTGCTGAGACCTGCTAATTAAGTCTTCTCTTGATATGGAAACTTGCACCCACACATCTAGGAGAGCATTCTTGACTTGACTATGACGTGACTAAAGTGATTTTTCCTCATTAATTATTTTAAGCTTATTTACAAGTACTCCTCCTATTGACATACAAATGAAACTTGGCACATTCATCATTTATGTTGTATCCAATATTGATTACAAAGAAACATAAACGCAAGCACTTCAGATCTGGACATTACATGGAACCTTGGCTGAGTGACATGTGGCAACTGGATTCTGGTCTACTCACCGGCAGAAGCACGATGGAAGCACTTGGTGCCAGTTCCAGTTCCAGCAGGGTCTTGTTCAGGTCTTCACTGGTGAATTCCCGGCGCGGGAACATGGTTGCGAGGGAAAAGTTACCATAGCGGTTTCCCACTTCCTGACACAGGACCAGCACAAAACATTTTACGTTGAGCATAAGATAATATGGTGCTATGTGGCACACTTTCAAAAACCACCACATCGGGTTAATTGATTTGGAATTGTCAGAAAGTCAGTCTTCTGTGATTTTGAAACACCCAAAATCAACACTGCCAAGAGTGTCAACTTCTGCATTAAGGCCACACTAATGGTTTCTCTGTTTATCTGAAGCAAAATTGGTAGTTTTAATAAAAACAAGTGACATCTCTGTTAAATGGAATTTAGTAGGTCAGAGTCATTCCAAATGTTCACACTCCAGAAATCAGTGGTGGAACCCTAAACCTAACCCTAACCCTTGTCCAGGTCATAGTTTCCTCCTTTTTCATCTTTAGAAACTCGTGTGTGATGTTGGCAGTGTGCTTTGAATGAATGTCATGCTGAAATTTTCCCCCTTTGCCAAGCTTCTGGGGCCTCATTTATCATCAGTGCGTAGAAAAGGTTCTAAATTCTGTCGTATGAATGAAATTTAGAGTGTGTGTAAGTACAAAAAAATCTGTATTTATCAAACATGTGTACGGGGTCGTACGCACATCAGTGTTGATAAATCCCACTTGTTCTTAACCTCCGTGCTCGTGCACGTTGCCTGCAGGAAAGCCTTCAAATGACCATATAGGGCAATAACACGCCTTTTTATAAAGCAGGTGAAGATTTATTTTTTTCCTCACCTGTCGTTATCATCGTGGCACAAAGGGCGATAAAGAGGAACTTTTATGAAACTGAGATCAAGGTACTTGCGTGAAATGTTGGGATAAGCAGCGAAAGAAAAAATATTGCAGACAAGATAACCACCGCAGTTATTTCTGTTGCGTCAGAGGAGAGATCGCCGGCAAAAATTTTAAAAAGTGGTTTGACGTTAAGCTGAGTGCCAAAAAACGTATCACAGTCCATAAAAGAGAAATGGCTGCAACTGGAGGAGGACGAATTAATACCGAACGTTTACCCAGCGGATAACCCTGATCACTACTGATGACATGTTTTAGTAACCAAAGTCCACCTAAAACATTTCCATACTCTGTGACACTCACCAACAAGCGAGCTGTCCTCAGCAGCTCCTGCATGGAGACCCACAGAGCTGTTCTGCTCAATGAATGAGTCGCGTTCCTCCAAGCCGCCGGGCAACAATGTTGGATAGCAACAGATGTGCATCGCAATTTATCAGTACATTGATTGAATGAAACCCTTTTCTATTTACAAAATTAAGCTCGTTTAGTGATGCTGCTTTGATTGTGATGTGGGTGCAGTCTGTGGCTCCACATATGTTTGGGAATCCAGCGACGACGTTAAGTCCCTGTTTGATTTGGGCTCGTTGGTGATGACTGTAAGGGAACTGGATGTAGGCTGGGGCCAGGGGAGTTATGGCATCCAACACTGCCGGCTTGATCCTGCTCAGTGGTGGCTGGAAATGCCGCATATGTCTCCAACCTCACACTGGAATGTGCCGGTGGTCAAAATCCCTGTATACTTTCTATTTGTAGTTTCACTGTTCTACCGCTAGATTATGTGTGTATGCATGGTCAGAGGTGTGCGTGTATTTACGCACAGTCCTAAGTATAAGTACAAGTTGATAAATTCCATATTTTGCGTAGGAATGTTAGTACGCACGCTCTGTGCACATATCTGTGCGTACGCACTGATGACAAATGAGGCCCCTGGAGACCAGGAGTCATCTTGTCAATGGTCTGCACTGCACTTAAAGTTGAAACCAGAAGTTTACATACACTGAATAAAAAGACATAAAACCTTTTTGTTTTTTCTCAGTCTGACATTAAATCAGACTAAACTTTTCCTGTTTTCGGTCAGTCAGGATTACCAACATTATTTCTCTTTTTTAGCAGACCTACAGAAGTGGAATTGCCTGCCACTATGTTTGGCAGGAAGGATACAGGCTGTCAAAATGAATGTACTACCCAGATATCTGTATTTGTTTCAATGTCTCCCCATATTTCTCCCTAAGTCCTTTTTTAAATCTATTTGCAAAGCTGTCTCTTCTTTCATTTGGGCCGGCAAATGTGCGAGACCAGGTTGGACTTTGCTCCAAAGGAACCGGTCAGTGGGTGGGCTTAGACTTCCAAATTTTAACAAAGGTCAGGTTTCCTTCCTTTATAACCTCCTGCTCACAACTAATGAAACTGTGGTAAATAAGATTAAAGCTGATTGGGAAATTGAATTGCAAACAAACTTTTCTGACAATTTCTGGAAAAAGGCTGTCGAGGCTGTTAATTCTTCTTCTAGTTGTGCTGGGCTGTCTCGCATACAGTTTAAAGTGCTTCACCATCTACATTACAGCAAGCACAAACTCTTCCAGATGTTTCCAGAATCAAATGACGAAACCTGTAGTAGGTGCTCTCAGACTCCTTGTAACCTGACCCATATGTTTTGGTCGTGTTCAAAATTAGATAATTATTGGCAGTCCTTTTTTAAGTCTATTTCTGATATCCTAGGTATAACTGTCAATCCATCCCCACATATAGCTATTTTTGGTAGGTCTCCTGACAGCCTTGTCACCTCAGCAATTCAGGACAGTATTATTGCTTTTACCTCTTTAATTGCCTGTAGGAAGATCCTTCTCTTATGGAAATCTTCACAACCTCCATCTTTCAAAGCATGGTTACATGACATCCTGTTTCTCCTTAAACTTGAGAAAATTAAATTCACTCTTAGAGGGTGCTCTGATAAGTTTTACACTCACTGGAGACCTCTTCTCCAATATTTTGAGAAACCTTCTCCTGATGAGGTGTTTTAGTGGTATGCAATGGCCTGCTGTTATAGACTCTGTCCCCGGTGCCTGCCTGGCCGCCCCCCCTGCACCCGTCCTGAACCTGTGCCTGACTTAATAACAAATACTGCATGCTAGTTACTCTTTCTTTAGTGCAGGTTCTTATTTGCTGAGTCGGGATGCGAGCAGCTACCGTGTTTTTCTTTTTCTCTCTAATAATTGTCATGGAGCGGTGTGTGAGTGATTTTATGTTTTACATCTAAACGTGTTTTGTTTGTTTTGTTTTGTTTTGTTTTTTTCTTCCCCAAGTACATTGATACTATGCAACTGTACTTATTTATTTATTTATAATTTATCTTCATTTATTTTCTTATTTTCTTAGATTCTTATCTACAAATTAAGAGGTCTGTTTGTTGGTCGGGGAGGGCATTTGTTTACAAGAAGAATTATAATATTGACCTGACTGTTTGGGGGAAAATAGAAAAATACTAAATGGACCACAGCTGCACTGTATTTGTTTGTGTTCTGCTTTAATTATAAAAAAAAAAAAACAACAACAACAACAAAACTCTGTCATGTTTGTTGAAGTTGTAGCCCTGTACCTTGGCATTCATCTTTGCTTGGGTTTTGAGGGAGCTTATAATTTGTCTTTATAAACTTCTTTAGAGGATCCTAGCAGAAATAAATGATCATGCTGTATTATTGTTTTCCAAAAATATTTTCCCCTCAATGATGACTTTGAGCAAATTTATCAAAGGACTACACGTGTGGTTGCGTGTCTGTGTTTGTCTTTATGTTATGTACAAATTCCAATGCAGCTGCCACGGCCACAAGTTATGATTTTAAAAGATTAACATATCCAGAAGGACAACAGCAACTGTATGGAAGTGCATTTGTCATACATATACCTGAACAGCAAACTGCCGAGCCTCATGCAGTTTGCTCTGCGAGGGGAACTGGTTGGTGAGGGATGAGCCATCTGGGAGGCGGAACTGTATCCTTGCTATAGTACTGGATCACACACACAGATAGAAAAGCAGTTAGTTAAACATTAAACACTTTCACAGAAGCAGTAGTTGATTGTGTGTACTGAATCTTCTATGCTGTAAATCATCGTTTAGTCAGGCTTTAACTTCTTATCTGTTTCATAGTTTTGGTGGTTGTCATCCTAGATCATCAGTCCATCATCTGGACTCTTGTGTTGGCTGCATATCAGTCTGCACTTTGCTGGGAGGAGGGGGGTTTGGTTCCTTCCGACCATTGAGGGAATCCAAGGCAACTTTAGATTGTTGGGTCCTCTGTTCCTAAGGTCTATACCTTACTATCAAGCGCTGTGTGTTGACATATGTTGTGAAATCGCACTATATAAATAAAAACTGAAGTGAATTCTATTGAATTTCGAAAATGGTAACATGCAGCTATAATGCTGCCAATGTGTGTATTACACCAAGCATCAGTAGAGGGCTGAAAAATGAAGACAGAGATGCCAGAAACTGCAGTTCCTCAAATGGCCACTTACTCACCAGATATCAGTTGCTTTTAAAAGCCTGCCATTGGCTGCTTATTTCAGTTGGCTCTCCTTTCCTTCCGCTATCTGCATGCAACCATTTTCAAAATTTAATTGAATTGAATTAATTTTTATTTATATAGTGCAAATTCCCAACATATGTTTAAAGAGAGAATCCAACAATCCAAAGTGGCCTTTGGATTCCCTTTGAGCAAGTGGTCGGCAACAGTGGGAAGGAATGTTTATTCATAGCAGAATAAACATGTTTACAGTGCAACAAAAAAGCACTTTTGGTCTCCCTGTTTATGACGACTGCACGTTTAAGTTATGTACAATTAAAGACATTATCGTTTTGAGTGGCAGGTGGGTGTCGTCACAGATCAGTCAATAACCCAGAGACATTTACAGCCGTATGAAAAAGTTTGGGCACCCCTGATCATTTTAAGATTTTCTTTTATAAATCATTGGTTGTTCGGATCAGCAATTTCAGTTAAATATATCATATAGCAGACAAACACAGTGATATTTGAGAAGTGAAATGAAGTTTATAGGATTTACAGAAAGTGTGCAATAATTATTTAAACAAAAGTAGGCAGGTGCATAAATTTGGGCATCCCAACAGAAAAATTACATCAATATTTAGTAGATCCTCCTTTTGCAGAAATAACAGCCTCTAAACGCTTCCTATAGCTTCAAATGAGGGTCTGGATTCTGGTTGAAGGTATTTTTGACTATTCTTCTTTACAAAACATCTCCTGCTCAGTCAGGTTTGATGGTTTCTGAGCATGGACAGCCCGCTTTAAATCACACCACAGATTTTCAATAATATTCAGGTCTGGGGACTGAGATGGCCATTCCAGAACGTTGTACTTGTTCCTCTGCATGAATGCCTTCGTAGAATTTGAGCAGTGTTTAGGGTCGTTGTCTTGTTGAAGTATCCAGCCCCGGCGCAACTTCAACTTTGTCACTGATTCTTGAACATTGTTCGCAAGAATCTGCTGATACTGACTGGAATCCATGCGACCTTCAACTTTAACAAGATTGCCAGTACCTGCACTGGCCACACAGCCCCACAGCATGATGGAACCACCACCAAATTTTACTGTGGGTAGCAAATGTTTGTCTTGGAATGCTGTGTTCTTCTTCTGCCATGCATACCGCCCCATGTTATGTCCAAATAACTCAATTTTAGTTTCATCAGTCTACAGCACCTTATTCCAAAATGAAGCTGGCTTATCCAATGTGCTTTAGCATACCTCAAGCGACGCTGTTTGTGACATGTGCTCAGAAAAGGCTTCTGCCGCATTACTCTCCCATACAGCAGCTCCTTGTGCAAAGTGCACTGAATAGTTGAACGATGCACAGTGACACCATCTGCAGCAAGATCATGTTGTAAGTCTTTGGAGCTGGTCTGTGGGTTGAGTTTGACTGTTCTCACCATCCTTGGCTTCTGCTTATCTGAGATTTTTCTTGGCCTGCCACTCCGGGCCTTAACTAGAAGTGTGCCTGTGGTCTTCCATTTCCTCACTATGTTCCTCACAGTGGAAACTAACAGCTGAAATCTCTGAGCTCGCTTTTTGTATCCTTCCCCTAAACCATGATGTTGAACAATCTTTGTTTTCAGGTCATTTGACAGTTGTTTTGAGGCTCCCATGTTGCCACTCTTCAGAGAAGATGCAAAGAGGAGAACAACCTGCAACTGGCCACCTTAAATACCCGTTCTCATGATTGGCTTCACCTGTGTATGTAGGTCAAGGGTCAATGAGCTTACCAAACAAATTTTGTGTTCCAATAATTAGTGCTAAAGGTATTCAAATCAATAAAACAACAAGGGTGCCCAAATTTACGCACCTGCCTACTTTTGTTTAATTGCACACTTTCTGTAAATCCTATAAACTTCATTTCACTTCTCAAATATCACTGTGTTTGTCTGCTATATGATATATTTAACTGAAATTGCTGATCCGAACAACCAATGATTTATAAAAGAAAATCTTGAAAATGATCAGGGGTGCCCAAACTTTTTCATATGACTGTACATGGCCTGTTGCAGCTCTCCTCACACTCCACCTCTTTCAGCAGGGTGACTGCTGACTGCTACACTGCAAAACTGTCCTGAAACAGTTGGAGGAACGTGACAAAGAGTTCAAGGTATTGACTTGGCCTCCAAACACCCCAGATCTTAGTCCCAACAAACAGCCTCTAGGACAAACTGGAAAATCAAGCCAGATCCATCAAGACCTGACCTTGCCATTTCTTTTGCTAATGTCTTGGTGTCTGATAGTACAGGACACCTTCAAAGGCCTGTGAGTGATCCATTTGTCTTCATGGCATAAAAAAACCACAGTGGTCTAGAAACAAATTGAGAGGGTTTGGTTCTTTGGTCCACACCAGAGATGGTCTTTTCAGACCTCAGTATTTTACACTGTTGTGTATTAAGTAGTTAAAAACATTATGTTCACTCGAGACTTTAGACAGGAGATTCAGTTGTTCCATTAGCTTACACTCAAAATGGTACTTCAAGTCATCTCATCATTTATACTCTGACACTTCACTATCTTTCTCTTACATGTCTACGGAGTTTAGTTCTTCTGCAGAAATTTGAACTACCTTTTTAACTTCACTAAAACCTAAACTCTCCTAAATTTCTTTCAGCGCTTGAGCTTCTTTCAGTATTTGCATAATTACTGCAACTATAGCTGTTCTCATGCTTTTAATATTTATACTTGGACGTGTCCGTATGTGATATGTTAAAGTATCTGGTAAAAACGTATAAACAGAGTTGTTTTTTTAGTGTGCTGTTTTGATATGCATACTTTATGATTACAATTCTTTTGTAAAGATTTTCGATTCAGAAGAAATGATTGTACATTTTGGCCTGCAGGGGAGGCATTTGAAGCATGTACAGTTTGTGTACGTGTCACTGCTTAATCTCCGTGGTCTATTTACCTCCTCTCCCTGACTAATGCCTCCTTTCTGGCCTCCTGTTCTGCCTGTCTGGCCTGCAGTATGGCCTGCTTGGCAGCCTTTTCGTCTTCATGGGTTTTGGCATAGCGAGCTGCTCTATCAGCTCGGTCCTGCAGGGCAGAGGGGATAAGACAGAAAAGTGATATGACTCTTGTCAATATAACAAATGAATACAGTTACTGTGAACAATATGTCTGCATTGCTTCTAACTGATGTGGCATTTCAAAGTAAGACTTGGTAGCCTCATATAAAACAATTTAGGCCTTTTGTCTTGGAAAAACTCAAAATCATGTTTAATATTTTGGTACTAAAACACAGGAGTTTTAGCCCCAAACAATATTTCTGATACCTTACTTTGCTGTAGATCCTGTAAATTGTCAAATAAATGCATATTCAAATATCTTGTAGGAAAAAATGTAGAATTACTGTGCCATTAAGAAACAGTAAGAAAATAAGGTTGTTGTGCCCTGATAATTCAATTAAAGCATCATCTGCACCATCTAACATTGTCTACTTTTCAACACTGACAGAAAAAGGGTCTTTCTAAACGATTTCTTACATAATAAATTGTAATTGGACAACCGTTTGTCACTCTTTCTAAAGTTTAGAGAGACAAGAGAAAGAAAAGGTTACCATCGCAATCTGCTGTTTGACTCGCTCCCTGGCAGCCTTCTCCTCTGCCTTCTCTCTATTCCTTTCTTCCAGGAGTCGCTTGGTCTTCTCCTCTTCCTGTTTCCTCTTAAAGTCTTGCATGCCCTTACCCATCTTTCGCCGGTCTATTTCCTTTCTGACTTCATTCTGAATTATGAACAAAACACAGGTAGGTCAAGGTGGAGTAGCCACGTTAATGACATAAACAGCAACTATGTTTCACACTCAGAGGCTCAAACAGATGATAAACAAGCAATTCTTTTGAAATGCCAGTCGAAAACAAATATGGTCACATGAAATTAGTATCAAATGAAAACAAAGCACTAATGTTCAATCTTGCTTATCTCAGAAATGGGGAAGCCTGTATTTAAAAAAATAAACCGTGCGGTACCGCTGCCTTAGTTGCATCAACAGGTCATCTTGGCCCATTAGGCAGGCTAACACAATCTGAAAGCAACCAGTTATTGCAGTGGCCTGTCTGAACATGCAGCTAGTCAGTCTGTATACGAGCTGTGTTCTAAAAGTGATTAAGCACCAAGTAATTCTTTATGTATTTCTTTATTCATGTTTATACCCCGTTCCAATTATGCAAATTTGATTTTTCTTTGATTTTCCTAAATAGCCGATGCAAATGACAGTCAGCATAATTTTCAAGTCATCAAACGTTAAAGTATAATTCAAATGTTTTTGAACTAATCTCCCAATGATAGCAGGATTTTTTTTCAAAAATAGAAAACTTAAAATGCACTGTTCCAAATTATTACACACAACAGAGTTCCAAAATATTTTATAGGTTGTAAAGAACTGAAAATGGTCATTTATTGAATTTGCAGCATTAGGGGGTCATACTTACTGAAATCAAAAGCTATTTCAGTTAAAAACATCTTAACAGGTCAAGTTACATTTTAACTTAGAACCCCTTATTTGATAGCAGCTTCACAATTCTTGCATCCATTTAACTTGTGAGTAGGGTCCAACCGGTGTATCAGCTGGCCAATTAAATCAGCCGATTTTCAAAATACTCATCATCGGCCGGAGTTTTGCCAATTAAAAGCCCATATATTCTTAATTTCTCATAAAACAGTAAATGCTGTTAAGTGTCACAGTGGCTTTCGTACATTTATTTTGTACAATTTGATTTTGTTAAAAGACAAATACCTCCAAGGAAAAACCATACAAAACACTCAGCAACACCACGAAAAGCTCAGTTTTTGCTTCTGCTAATTGTAAACAAGTCAACCTTGGACATGGAGATGACGAAGAGTTAAAATAGCTGATGACCGTCCAGCAGTGAGATCACTCACTCTGCCGCAAAGTCTGAAACCAAAGCAGCGCATAGAGCCTCACTCTGACAGAACTACAGAAAACAGCTTCTAAACTTTCTATCTAACCTTTTAACTAACTTATTCAACTTACATTTTTATTAACTTATTCTCATCAACTTTAAAGACATCACAGTGAGAGTCCAGAACATCAGAGGGCTGCATCAATAATGTTCTGCAGTGACTTCACTCATTATACTGCTTGTATACAGCAGACACCTACAGTCTAAATCTAAAGACTAAGTCATCAGTACAGCTGGTAGCTATATTCATGCTCCATCGAAAGAAAAATGCACAATGCAAATTTAAAATAAAATACCCCACATTACAGACATATTTGTTTAGAAAACTTTTTTTTTTTTACTGATGCATAGACTAATGCTTTGTTGCATGTTTTTGTACTTGAAAACTCCTCTCTGTTGTAAAGTTGAACAAATACTAAAAGACAGCATAAAACAGTAAAATGTTCTGCCTGTGATTCATATCTGTGTTGTTGTTGTAAGCGTTAAGGGACCAAAAAAGAAACTATTTTATTCATTACATATATTTTTTAATTAATCGGTCAATTAATCAGTTACTGGAATTTTTTTTTTTTTTTTTTTGCCAAATATCGGAATTGGCATCAGTCTCAAAAAATCCAAATCGGTCAGGCCCTACTTGTGAGTTTTTGGAGAGTTTCTGCTTGAATTTCTGCAGGATGTCAGAATAGCCTCCCAGAGCTGCTGTTAGGATGTGAACAGCCTCCCACCCTCATAGATCTTTTTCTTGAGGATGCTCCAAAGGTTCTCAATAGGGTTCAGGTCAGGGGAGGATGGGGGCCACACCATGAGTTTCTCTCCTTTCATGCATATAGCAGCCAGTGATGCAGAGGTATTCCTTGCAGCATTTTGTAACGAAACACACAGTTCTTCTTTTTGTACCATGGAAGAAAGTGGACAGCCAGAAACTCCACATACTTTTCAGAGGTCATTTTTACACCTTCGGGGACCCTAAAGGGGCCGACCAGTTTTCTCCCCATGATTCCAGCCCTAAACATGACTCCACCACCTCCCTGCTGACTTCACAGCCTTGTTAGGACATGATGGCCATACACCTACCGTCCACTACCTAATCCATCTGGACCATCCAGGGTTGCACAGCACCCATCAGTGAACAAGACTGTTTGAAAATTAGTCTTCATGTATTTCTGGGTCACCTGCAGCCGTTTCTGCTTGTGAGCACTGGTTAGGGGTGGCCCAATAGAAGGTTTATGCATCATTGCAAGCCTCTGGACGATCCTACACCTTGATGTTCGTGGGACTCCAGAGGTACCAGCAGCTTCAAATACCTGTTTGCTGCTTTGTAATAGCATTTTAGCAGCCGCTCTCCTAATCCGATGTGTTTGTCTGGCAGAAACCTTTCTCATTGTACCTTTATCTGCACGAACCTGTGTGTGCTCTGAATCAGCCACTAATCTCTTAATAGTACGATAATCACGCTTAAGTTTTCGTGAAATATCTAAGGTTTTCATACCTTGTCCAAGGCATTCAACTATTTCACGCTTTTCGGCAGCAGAGAGATCCTTTTTCTTTCCCATATTGCTTGAAAATGGTAGTCTGTTTAATAATGTGGAACGTTCTTCTTTAGTAGTTTTTCCTTTAATTGGGCTTACCTGGCAAACTAATTAGCACAGGCGTCTGAGATTGATTTCAGTGATCTAAAGAGCCCTGAGACACAATACCAACCATGGGTTTAATTGAAAAACAAAAAAATGTAATCTTTATGACAGATACAATTTGCAGAATAATTTTGACGCAGTGTATAGTCTTGTGTATTAAGACTGTTTCAGCTGCATTATTTGAACCTCTCTCGCTGGACCCACTATAAGGTGGTGAAAGAGGACATAGCCTCATTCCTAAACGGTGATACCTTGAAGTTGGAGACATAAAGGGGCTTCATTGTCCCTATTTTCCTAATTCCCAAGAAGCTAGGGGGTATGACACATATTATTGGATCTGCACACAACAAACAGCCACATTGCTCAGTGCTGATAATAACATACTTGCCAGAATGCAACCAGTTGGGCAACTTGATGTGAGCAACAGATTTTACAGTTGTATATTCCTGTGCTACCACATCACACATCACAAGAGGTATCTTCAATTTGCAGTTGGGAATGAAATTTATCAGTCCCGTCACCTCCCTTTCACATACTCATTGGCTCTGCGCACCTTCAAGTGCATGGAGGGGAAGTCTGCCCAGGGAGGAAGGGGTAAGGGTAGTAACATACTTAAGGTCTTTTCTGATCTGGGAACCATAACACTGCTGCTTAATCAGTCTGTTAATGTAATGACATTCTGTCATTCACAGTGGTTACGGAAAGGTTGCTAAGGACTTCATTCAGACATACCCCCCAGAGTGCCAGAAACAGCCACGGAACATGCATGATATTTGTCATGCATGCAAGATTGGACAGTACATCAAGGAATGTATTGGGGGGGGCTGCAGCCTATCCCAGCTGACTTATATCCCTTTTCCACTGAGCTGGTTCCAGTGCTAGTTCCGTGCTAGTGCCTGACTTAGCACCAGTTCTTTGTGTTTCCACCGCCAAAGCAGGCTCGCAAAACTAGTGCTTTTCAGACACCAACTCTTTGCTGGGCCAGAGAAAAGCACCAAGTACGTCAGGGGCTAGGGGAGGGGTTATCGTGACCATCGAGACCAATGAATGGGACACACAAGCAGTGATTTGTGTCGTTTTTCACCAGGATTTCGCTACAACTGTGTCCCACCAGTAGCACCGCAGTGGTGGAAAACAGGACTTTTAATACTTCTGTGTACTGCGGTATTTATGCTGCGGTCCTCTCATGCAAAACGAAGCGCACCTACATGCGCTGTTAATTCCGCTCATAGAAAAGACTGCATGAAAAAAAAAAAATCACTCAGTTTCATTTGAGGACAAATCTGACGTTAGACTGCCCTAGTGTACTCTTTTTTTTCTGAAAGGTAATTTTTTTGGCCTTTATGCCTTTATTTATATAGTGCAGTGAGAGAGAGACAGGGAAGTAGGGGAGAAGAATGGGGGGGAAGGACGTGTGGGAAAGGGCCATGAGCAGGATTCAAACTCATGACCTCCACATTGGGACTGTAGCCCTGTACATGGGACGCCAGCTCTGCCAGGTGAGCTATACCGACGCCCCGCCCGAGTATACGCTTTTAAAGTCATCCTAGGTCGCACACTGGTCTGAGCACTGCAGCCACCATCAGCAGCTACCGCAGCCTGCTATGTGGGGCATTCAGGGAACATCGTAAACTGTAGTGTCTATCAATAAGAAAATGTTCAGCAAGTCATATGTTTTGCCTGTGACAAGGTGAGAAGTGCAAACAAATGAGAAAGTTGGACACACTGGTAAAAAAGTTAGTCTGGAGTCCTGTGTGGACTTCCGTGTCCACGAGTGCTGTTCGGTAAACGGCTACGTATGCAGTGACGTAAGGTGTGGCTCACGGTCAATGGATGGAAAAGCAAGCGGTTCTCAGATTGGAGCCAACTAAGCACTGGCCCTAGCACCAGCACGAAACTAGCACCTGGTGCTACTTGGTGGAAAAGGGCAATTTGAGCAAAGGCAGGGGACACCTGGACAGGTCACCAGTCTATCACAGGGCTACACTTAGAGACAGACAACCAAGCACACTCACATTCACACCTACGGACAATTTAGAATCACCAATTAACCTCAGCATGTCTCTGGACTGTGGGAGGAAGCCGGAGAACCCGGAGAGAACCCACGCTGAGAACATGGAGACTCCACGCAGAAAGATTCCGGGTGTCCTCACCGGGACGCAAAACCAGCGACCTTCTAGCTGCGAGGCGACGGTGCTAACCACCAAGCCACCTTGCAGCCCCAGACTAAATCTAAACTAACAAAATTAAACAAACTGTCCAAGGCACTAATAGCCTACTTTATTCATTATTTCCAAAACAATGTATGTTGATAATCTATTTACTGTTACCAACAATAAAATAAATATATTCAGACAGCTGCAATAGAGCTAAGAACTACATCTGACAGCCACTATGAAACAAACAATTTAACTGCAGCTTATAAACTGTGACTGCGTGTACGACAGTTAATTTGTTTGAAGTAAAGAAAACGCCACAGTGTACTTGCAATTTCTGATCGATTGTGTCTCCGTGTCTGGGAAAAATTTATAATTTTAAATGAAAAATACTTTATTCATCCCAGAAGGGAAATTCAATCCTGTAAAAGCTCACCTTTCTTTTTTTTTTCTTTTCTTTTTTTTTTCTTTTCTTTTTTTTTAAATCAATATAACATATATTATATACAAGAATAATAATATTTTAATATTTTAAGTAACATACGAAGGTAATGTTTCGTTTTGTCTGCATAAAAGCGCACAACTCTCTCTTTAGAAACATTCGTATGTATCATGATACAGTTTGATGCTGACCTATTGAATAAACTCAGAGGAAAGACTCAAGAGGTAATCCTAGCAGATCTCCACCTCTGCTCAGTGACGTCCCATCTTGTGTGCACAATGTACAATAATGGAGGAGACAAACTGTCTAGAATAGTCAGGAGTATCTCCCCATATGGAGATTCTTTTGGTTTGTTGGTTGGTCTGCCTCAACAGTCTGGTCCCCTGGTCTGCTCTAACCCTGAAGCTGATGCTTCCATTGTTCCACAAAAGAACCTATCAAATCAAATCAAATCAGGTTTATTGTCATTTTGCTGTACATACACAGTAGTACAGGCAAGATGAAAGAGCGTTTCTTCAGGATTCTTCAACCAGCAAGTTTAGTGGAATGGACATCTGGGATAAGACACAAAACGTTCACTGTCGCTGTCTCCTGAAGGGGGCGCTGTGTCAGTGCGCGCCACCATTTATTGAACATGGCGAACCTCTTCAGGTCCTGGTAGGTCTTCAGGGACACAAAGACACACACGATGGTGTGACGATGGTGAAGCTGCAGATGCTGCCCAGAGCTAGCTGCCTGTCTGTCTGCATCCCCTCCAGCTGTATGTCCATCTGGGATGCTGTCATGGAGCCATGCTTCTGTTAAACCAAACACATAGCTGTCCCTCCACTCTCTGAGGGTTTCTCTCAGCAAACGTAGCTCGTCCAGCTTGTTGTGGAGGGAGCGGACATTGGAGAGTAGGAGCAACAGTCATGCTGGTCTGGAGGGGTTAGCCTTTAGCCTAGCATGGATCCCAGCTCTCTTCCTCCTCTTTTGTTGGTGCCACTTCCTTCTCTCTTGGGTAACTGCCGGCGCAGTCTCCAATCAGACTCTGTGTTGGTGTCGTATGTCCAAATCACAATCGATCGCTGCAATTCCAGCACTGTTCACTGTCCTGACGCCCAGTGAAGTCTCCCGGCTGCAAGTTTTGCGGAATGAACGTCTGGGATAGACAAGACACTCAAAACGTTCACTTTTGTTGTTTCCTGAAATGGCCACTGCGTCTATGTGCGCCGCCATCACCACGGCAACATCGAGGCAGCAATTGAAGCTGCGAAGATGGTTTCAACCATTTACAACTTCTGTGATGCTTCCTATGAGGAGTCCACATATTAAGGTCCCCTGCTGGTCATATTATTCCTCAGTGGGACCCATACACTGTCCCAGATGGCCCATATGGATTGAACATGAAAGTCAGGAGATGGTATCTATTAAAACAGTGTTCTATGAGCGCCCCAGTAGCTCAACTGGTTGAGTGGGTGACCCATAAACAGGGGCTTTAGTGCCCGACACAGCGGCCACAGGTTCGAGTCTGACCCACGGTCATTTGCTACATGTCCTTCTCCTTGTCTCTCTATCTCTCTCTCCACTTCTCGCAATAATAAGGGCTAAAAAAACAAACAAACAAACAAAAAAAAACTGTTCGAGTTGGCTCTCACTAATCATAAAGCACAGGGGTACAGTGTAACTGCAACTGAATCTCTCTTTTCAGCCCAAGATCATCACTTCCTCATTCAAGTCAGGGGTCTTCCACTGAGAGCATTTTTCCATCTTCTCATGAAGCTACGAAGAGAAACACCTTTATACCTATGTGATGCTATGTAAATCACATGGTAAGCCTTGAGATGTTTGCTTGTTATGGCACAAATGCTCAGTGACACTGCTGTCAGTTCAGTAGTTTTCTCACTGGATTACAAAGCAATCTGCAGTAGCTATCCGTTATGGCCTGCCATCCTATGCATTACACCAGACAGGTATTGCATTCATTACTGTGAGTTAAATAAAAAGATGGATGGTTATCACTGGCATCTAGAGGGCGTTAGCCTGCCATATCTATATTTATGCTATCTTTATGATATCTGCAATTTATGGAAAACAGACTTGTATTTAGCACCCATAAAGTCTTGTCTCCTTACCTCTTCTTCTCCTCTCTTCCTTTGCTCCCGTCTCTCCTCCAGTTTCTTGGTTAATCTGACATGGCAATGTAACAATACAACACATTTACTTTAAGAATGATGAATGTTACAATAGCAGACTTTTAAATATACAGTGGCAAGAAAAAGTATGTGAACCCTCTGAAATTTCCTAGTTTTCTGCATTAATTGTTCATAAAATGTGATCTGATCTACATCTAAGTCACACGTACAGACAAACATAATGTGCTCAACATAATACCACACAAACAATTATAATACTTGTCTTTATTGAACACATCCATTAAACACTCATCGTGGTGGTGGAAAAAGTAAGTGAACCCTTGGATTTAATAACTGGTCGAACCTCCTTTGGCAGCAATAACCTCAACTAAATGGTTCCTATAGTTGCTGATCAGACCTGCACACTATTAAGAAGGAATTTTAGACCATTCTTCCAAACAGAACTACTTCAGCTCAGTCATATTTTTCAGATGTCTGCTGTGAACGGCTCTCTTCAGGTCATTCCACAGCATCTCT